CCATACTGCTGGCTGTATAGGAGGCGGAGCTTTTAGCTCCTTCAAGGAGGGGAAGATAAATGTAAAATATTCCTCTATCTCTCCTCTTTAAAGAAAATGAACATAATATGCTTGCTATAAAGAAAAATTGACAGAGACAAAATATTCACACTTTGTTTCATCAATTAAAACGTTTGTATAAATTGATGCTTATCAAACGAGAATTGTGAAACATTAACTTTTTAATTTTTCTTCGATGTTTAGCTAAAAGATAAAAAAAACATTTCATTGAAGATCATAAGGTTACGATCTTAAGTTATTTAGTTATTTAGAAAAACCTTTATCTGAATTTTTTATTCTTTTGAAACTAAGAGAATCTCAGGAACTGATATAGTGTTAATTTTCTGGATCCCAAAAACACATTTGATCTATTATTCATCATGACAGATATCCATCAATTGATTAATATTGATTATATGAACATGTTATTTGTTTCATAAATATGTTCTGCTGTTGCTGTGAAACAGAGCGGTCTCGGTTTGCATCAAGCATCTGTAGTATCTAGTGTCGCTGCTTTAACTTTCCAGTAGTGACGTTATTATTTATATCAAGTAGCGACGTAGCGTCCACAAACGCTATAAAATCTAGGGCATAATTTTCTATTCTTGAAACAACAATCGGAGTTATTTGTTGGACATTCACGCATGAGCCTCTATTCTGCCTCTCCTGTCTGTATCTAATGAAACATGTGCACTGTAGTGGAACTCAATAAATGACACACACAGACACACGCACAGAGCCACGCACACAGGATGGAGGAGGAGACAGGAGCAGAGCGCCTTATCTTCAGAGATTGTGAAACTTGTTGAACCCTCTGATAAAAAGTACGTGTTCAAATTTCGGTTCTTGGCCATAGAGAGCTCATGTGGCCAAGACTAGCCATTTGTTTTACATAGCCAAGCACTCATTAAAACAGTAAACTACAGTCAGTTTTTTTAAATAAAAATAAGAAAAATATATCAGCTTTAACTTTAT